CCAAGATAAGCCCTAAGATTCCCTCTGGAACACTAGTCTGTACTTTTCTAAATTTAAAGGAAGTCTCAAGTGTAGAACTGTTGCTGCAGTCTGGAGTCTTCACTGGTACAGCAGGATGATGGATAGTTTTTCAATACTCAACACTTGTTTTCTCCTACGTAATGCCTCTTTTTTTCTTTGTAGCTCCATATTCTTGGTTTGCTGCATTGCTCCACCCCAGGCCAAGCAGAAGCATCTGTAACATCTGAAGAAAGAACCCAGGCCCACAGCTCACCCACTACAGAACCCTGGGACCTTTTCCTCCTTCTAGGTAGGGAAATCTTCAGCTGTTTTTTTTCTAATTCTCAATCCTGGACCAAGGTTGTTTCTGGTAGAATAGCAGGGAACTAAAGGATGAAAGACGGGAAGGACGAAGGAGAGGCAAAGGTGGTGGGGGAAGAAGAGGCAAAAGAAAGGGGGACTAGGCAGAGCAGGGCATTTATTTCAACATATTCTGTTCCTCCCTTTCTCTCCCAGCACCAGCTAATGCTAAGAAAAGCCACTTTCACAGATGGTGACGTTTGAGTCTTGTGGACTTCACAGACTCTTTGCTTTGTTCTCCACCTTCTGGTGAGAGTCATAATAAACAGTGAAAAGATGGTCAGCAAAACCAAGGAAAATTTAAAGACCTTGGTAATCCAGAAACTGCATGATTATAGATAATTGAGAATTGTCTCTAGATTCAAAAACATCGTTTTTACTCCATATCCTGAAACAATGGAAATTACAAACAAGATATATAAAATCAGATTGTTTTTAAACCATCCCTTGTCACTATTTTACGTGATGTCACAAACTAACTGTATTCATTATTAATTCGCATTAAGAGCTGCATTATTCTTTCAAATGCCAACAGCTTTTCCTCTGAACATTTCCTGTTCTACTTATGAATTATTGTTCTAGTTCTTACAACCTGGGCAGGTTTCCATTAAATCCTTTTTGTTTCATGGGCTCATGTGTATGAAATACTAAATTACTTGCTAAATTACTATGTTCCATTATAATATCCTATTGTATATCTATATTTGTATGTTTATTGTATTTTATATTGTATATTTATTGTAAATGTTATTTATCCTTTAATGGATTTTTATATTGTATTTATTCTTTTGGAGAGGGATAGACAGAGAGAGATGTATTTTTATTTTTTTCGTTGTGTTGGAGCTGTGTTATAGAGAGCATTGGTAAGATTTTGGCAAAAAAAAAAAATAGGTGTGCCATGGTAAAGGATAGATTAGTATTCTACCTATCCCACATCCCAATCCTCATGAGGAATAGCAACAAAATTTTAAAAAATCCTTTAATGTTATAAAAGCTGAGCAAAGGGCAAGGAAAACCTCTTCTTTCCCCTGCCCCCGCCAAAATCTTGTTCTTCTCTTACTAAAGTGTTCAGCCATCTCTCCAGGTGGTGGCAGGGCAATTCCAAAGCCTGGCCTTCAGTTCTTAGCAGAGGACATTAGCATCCTAGCCCACTCCAGCAAACTTTCTGTTGCCTAACAGGCGGGGCTGCAGCCACACTCTAACAAGGTCTGAATCTTGGCCTTATGGGATCAGTATCCTCTTCCAAATTCTTTTTTTTTTTTTTTTGAGACTGAGTCTTACTCTTGCCAGGAGCCAGGCTGGAGTGCAGTGGCTCGATCTTGGCTCACTGCACTCCACCTCCCGGGTTCAAGCAATTCTCCTGCCTCAGCCTCCCGAATAGCTGGGACTACAGGAGCACGCTGCCACCACACCCAGCTAATTTTTGTATTTTTGGTAGAGACGGGGTTTCACCAGGTTGGCCAGGACGGTCTTGATCTCTTGACCTCATGATCCTCCCGCCTCAGCCTCCCAAAGTGCTGGGATTATAGGAGTGAGCCACTGCGCTCAGCCTTCTCTTCCAAATTCTTAGTTTCCTCCTTAGATATTTTCTCCCTTAACCCTACGGTTGGTAGCAGTTTCCTGTATTTGCTGTTCCTGTATTTTGTAGAATCCTCTTTTAAATCTTTTAGTTAACCATCTTTTATTATTTAATAATAACATATATTAACTTTTTCCTGCTCTAATTACTGTTGTGATTTTTGTGTTAGGGAGAGTCTACTCATAACTAGACTCTCCCTAACATTTCTCAATCTCCTTATCCCAGAGGAATGCTTAAAATAATTTTTAAGCCTCAAGGAAACCCTACATAAAAATTATTAAATCAATGGCTTACATTATCAGTGAATTGTAGATGACAGTCAATGTTGTTTAGTAGAGAATGCTAGTTTTCTATAGAGCTGCTCATTTTGGCTGACTTATTAGTGTACTTTTTGTGTGGTTCTCCCTCCTAAAAAGGATAACTGTAACCTAAGTCATTAGTGTAAATAGAGAAAAGTTCAGTTTTTCCTTTGTTTAAATGTGTTTGATTTTTTTACCTTACCCAAGTGGGCCTTAAAGTCTTATAATGAATTTCTACTATGTAAGATGTTAATAAGGTATATTACAACGTATCTGATGGGCAAGAGTAGTTCTTCACCCTATTTAAAACTAATAGTTACTTTATAGCCAACCTTTTTTGGAAAAAAAAATTTGGTAGTTAAGCTTAATTTACCTTTTTACAAATTAATCTCTTTCTTTTCACAAATTTTTAAAATTTATAAGGCAGGCCGGCCATGGTGGCTCACACTTGTAATCCCGGTGCTTTGGAAGACCAAGGCGAGTGGATAACCTGAGGTCAGGAGTTCAAGGCCAGCCAAACCAACATGGTGAAACCCCATCTCTACACAAAATACAAGAATTAGCAGGGCACAGTGGTGGGCACCTGTAATCCCAGCTACTTAGGATGCTGAGACAGGAGAATTTCTTGAACCTCGGAGGCAGAGGCTGCAGTGAGCTAAGATCACACCACTGAACTCCAGCCTGAGTGACAGGGCAAGACTCTGTCTCAAATAAATAAATAAATAAATAAATAAAATAAAATTTAGAAGGCAAATGATAAATCTCTCTTAAATAACTGGCAAGCCAAAATGGGATTTGATTTTTTTTCTAAGGGTAGGCTTGGTTGATTTAACTTAAAGACTTCACATTTATTTTACTTAATTTTATTCACAACAAAAAATTTTATTAACATTTATAGAATAGATAAGCTATCAAAACCATACGCAACACCAATATTTTTGTTTCTTTTTTAAGACAAGGTCTCACTCTGTCACCCAGGCTGGAGTGCAGTGGCATGATCACAGCTCACTGCAGCCTTGACTTCCTGGGCTTAATTGAGCCTCCCAAGTAGCTGGCACTAGTGCCACCATACCCAACTAATTTTTGTATTTTTTATAGAGCCAAGGTTTTGCCATGTTGCCCCGGCTGGTGTCGAACTATTGGGCTCAAGTGATCCACCTGCCTCGGCCTCCCAAAGTGCTGGGATTGCAGGTGTGAGCCACTCTACCCAGAATATTATTTAACTTCAATTTTACATGTAGCCCAACGTCACCAGCTAGTAAGAAAGTATTAAAGTACTTCGTCTTGCTTTCTACCTACAGATCTCTTTACAATAAACTTTTAAAAATTTGTTAATATTGACTACATTGACTTAATGTTTCTTTTCTATTATTATTATTATTATTTTTTGACATGGAATCTCACTCTGTCGCCCAGGCTGGAATGCAGTGGCACAATATCAGTTCACTGTAACCTCCAGCTCCCAGCTTCAAGCGATTCTTGTGCCTCAGCCTCCCAAGTAGCTGGGATCATGGGTGTGCACCACCATGCCCAGCTAATTTTTGTATTTTTAGTAGAGACAGCGTTTCGCCATGTTGGCCAAACTGGTCTCAAACTCCCAACCTCAGATGATCCACCTGCCTCGACCTCCCAAAGTGCTGGGCTTACAGGAGTGAGCTGCCACACCTGGCCTTCACTTGATATTTATGTTAAAAATTTAAATTTTGATGAATTTCCTAAGGCTAGGATTGGATTAGCAGATTCTGAGTATTTTTGCATCTCTTGGGGCTACTTACTGCCTTTTAAAAGCAGTTAAGTGCTATTTTATGAAATAGTGTCAACTATCTATTTCTAATAAATATTGAACAGATTTGTATTGTTTCTTAAGATATTTTAAATTTTTATTTAAGTTAAAATATATTATTAACCTATAGTGACCATATTGTACAATAGATTTTTTGAGCTTCTTCTTAATTGAAATTGTGTATCCTTTGACCAACATGTCCCCACCATCCTACCCAACTACCCCAGCCCCTGCTAGCCACTATTCTACTCTCTACTTCTATGAGTTCAACTGTTTTAGATTCCACCTATGAGTGAGATTATGTGGTATTTATCTTTCTGTGCCTGGCTTATTTCACTTGACATAATGCTTTCCAGGTCCACCTATGTTATTGCAAATGACAGGTTTTCTTCTTTTTAAAAGCTGGCCAGATGCAGTGGCTGATGCCAGTAATCCCAGCACTTTGAGAGGCCGAGGCAGGCAAATCACTTGAGGTCAGGAGTTCAAGACCAGTTTGGCCAACACGGCAAAACTCCAACTCCACTAAAAATACAAAAATTAGCCTACCTGTGATCCCAGCTACTTGGGAGGCTGCGGCAGGAGAATCGCTTGAATCCAGGAGGTGGGGGTTGCAATGAGCAGAGATCACATCACTTCACTCCAGTCTGGGCAATAGAGTGAGACTCTGTCTCAAAAAAAAAAGTAAGTAAATAAAAGCTGAATAGTGTTCCATTGTGTATATATACCACATTTTCTATATCCATTCATCCACTGATGGACACTTAGTTTGTTTCCGTATCTTGGCTATTGTGAATAATGCTGCAATGAACATGGGAGTGCAGATATCTCTTCGACATGTAATTTTCTTTGGATATATGCCCAGTAGTAGGATTGCTGGATCAAATGGTAGTTTTATTTTTAATTCTTTTAGAAACCTTCATGCTGTTTTTCCATAATAGTATACTAATTTACATTCCCATCAACAGAAGACAACATTGAATTTTTAAAAGCAGATCATTTAAATAATGATATTTCAGGAGAAAAACGCCCTATTCCTTTTAGCTGTATACATTTATATTATGACTTGATTTCAGAAACCTTAAATTGTGGTGAAAAAATATGCTTAGAATAGGTAGCATATGGTGTTCATGCAGTTATTTTATCTCTTCTTGACCAAACTTCTTCTTTCTTAAAAAAAAAATGAGCATGTACATGGGCACGGACATGACAAAATAAAAAATTTTTATCCCAATAGCCTTTGACAATCCATAGTACTTCACCTTGAAAAGAGTACAGGTCAATAAATGAAATTTAGCCACAGAAAAGTAATGGCTTCAGCTGGGCACAGCCTGGCTCCCTTGGGGTACTGGTGGCCTCTTATCACCCTGAGTTAGGCCTCAGGCGTTTGCTGAGCACCTGTGTCTTGATATACCAAGTTCCTAAGACCCCAAGGAACACAAGGAGAAGAAGCCCCTTCCCCAGGAAAATCCAATTCACTGGGCAATAGGTGCCTTCAGCTGCCTTGAAACCTGAAAGAGAGAAAGTAGAATGAGAGAGGACAGAGCATATGTGTGCAAGTGGAATGGGGCTGTTGGCAGGTGACAAGGGCTGCCATGCCCTCGCCTCAAAACATTTCCTAGGGGTGCTAGAGAGACCAGAAGGGGCCTGTTACCTGCACAAAGCTGCGCAGCATGGATAGGAGTGGAGTTGCTGTTGCTAGCAGGATTCAGAGCTGTGCAAGTAATGTAGCTCCAGTCCAGATCATGAAGGCTCCAGGAGCCATTGAGGTTGGACCCCACATGGGACACAGCAGCCCCTGGTCCCACTGATGTCCACTCATACGTGATGGTCTCTCCTCCTTCCTCCACAGAACACCTCAAGATGGCATTACAGATCCCATTCTCAGAGATGATAGACTCCACTCTAACATCAGGCCTTGACAGCCGCTCTGCTTGAAACAATAGTTTTAAATGATACAAATAGCAATTAAAGACCTTTCTAGGCCACCCTAGGAGGAGAAGATTCAGGTTATCAAGGAGTAAGAACCCAGCAAGAAATCTAGACCCCTTCAGTGGAAACATCTCTGACTCTCATTTCCAACTCCTGAGCACAAAGAAGGGGCAAGTTGTATGTTTTTTAATCAGCCACAACCACAGCCCGGGGCTGCCAGACTGAAGAAGGACAAAAAAAGAATAAGGAGAGAAAAGAAAAAAGAATCTACCTAGGAAAGGTTCTGGACTGACAAAAAGAGTGAAACTGGGAGAAGGCCTTTACCAAGGGTCATACAGCCCACGAGGCTTGGTGGGTGGCCCACTCACCCTTACCAGTAGGGACCTGGTCCTCTACACCCTTACTTACTGAATATCCTCAGAGTGTAACTGGACACTTTTACAGTGGTCTCTGAGGACACCTGGGCACTGTAAGAGCCTGTGTCTTCCATCTCCAGGCTACTGAGTTGCAGGGAGTAGGACTGGGTGAAGTTCAGTCGCTTTCCCCGTTTCAGGTTAGTCACGTGGATTTGTGGACTTTTGGTTTTAGAGGGTTCTATGAAGGCAATAGATGTTCCATTGTAAAGCCAAGTAATGGACTTGATCTTCTCTGCTGCAGGAAACTCCAGGGGAAGAGTTACTGACTCCCCCAGAACCCCATTCACCATCAATGGGGTTGAGCTGGTTTGTGAAACTAGATTCCCTGTAAACACAGAAGGAAAAGCCTACAGAATGCCCCTGACAATTGTCCCTCCCCCCAAGTCTCCCAGTCAGTCATAGCTCCCCTATGTTAGGGCTCACAAGAACATTGGACATAAACATGTATGAGCAGTGGTGCTGTGCTGGAGCTAAAGTGGGCAATGCTCAAAGTCTCCTTCCTGCTGGGATCTCCAGGAATCACTCCAGGCATCCATTCAGCTAGGATCACTCATCCCTGTCCCTCGGATTGTGCTCCCCTGAGAGCTGTTGGGCCTGGAAGACCAGAATGGAGACCACTGAGGAAGTCAGAGGCCAGCCCTGCCCTGCCTGGTCCCTCTTTCTTCACCTTGAGATTTCAATTCTCACAACTTCCTATTTTCTGAAATGTTTCTGCCTCACAGAACTGGAGTTCCACGTCACTGCAGTTCCGGTGTCTCAATGGTATGTGATATAAAGATCTCAGATGACAGATGGGACACCTGCTTTTAGTCCTGATCCTGCCTCTATTGAGATGTGCAGCTTTGGGGAAGCCTGTTGATTCCTCCAGTCCTTTTCTCTTTCTTTTTAAAATAAGAGAGATATAATGCAGAGCCTTTCAGATTCCTTCCAACTCTGATATTCACCATGTCATTGTTCTATATACCTTAGATTTTTCTCTTTTCCTCTTCCTCCTTGCCCTCATTCACTCTCTAGTCAGTCTTTCCTATGTCCTAGAGCCTCTCAACGTCTTCTATCTGCTTGTCCCCCAATCTCCCTAACATGAGGTCCTCAGTTCTGGAAAGGCCTGGCTGGGCTGTGCCCATGTAGAGAGGTCAAGCTACAGGAGAGGAGCCCCTGACTCACTTACCTTCCTGGAACTGGAGGAGAAAGAAGAGAAGCCGAGCAAGAGGTTTCATGGTGGCAGGACTAACCTGGTTTGCCTTGAAGATCACAAGGAGTTAAAAGGAAGGCAAAAGAAAGCAGCAAGTCTGTTCTGCAGCATCAGCAGATGAAACTCTCTTAGTTCCCTGATCACATGATCACATTTGCTAACCACTTCCTTTGTTCATTTTCTTTCTTCCTTTCTTCCTTCCTTCCTTCCTTCCTTCCTTCCTT